TTTTTTTTTTTTTTTTTTTTTTAACTGTGAATGATGATCCTAAGTGTTGAGCTCACAAAAATAAACCCTGCTAGAAAGAAATCAGTCATGGACACAGGAGAGTAAGCCAAGTCTCAGTATTTTTCTGATAAGTTACTGGGTAAATAAGTTTAGGGAAGCCCCTGTCTCAAAGTTGGGGTGGGTGTGGGGTCATTTCCAAGGCTTTATAAAGAGAATATACAGGCCTTTTTGGATTCTGAAGTCATTATTTTTCTCATGATGAAACAGAGGTCTCTCTGGTCCTGACCAGACTTCTCCAAGCAGGAAGATCTCCCATGTGGGATCAGGGACATTGTCAGAGTCCCACTGTACTTAACCCGTCATGTACAAGAAGGTGTGGAACAGCATCCTGGTGAAAGAAGGGCTGGCCCTTTGCACAGAGACTTAAGTATCTACATAATTCTCCATGAACAGTGGCAATGGTTCAAAGGAGACATGGGAAGGTAGGCAGGGAAGAGGCTTACAGTTAGAGTGGTCAGTCCTTTCTGCTTACAGCACATATCTGGAGCCTAAAGTTGTTCATTCTCAAAGAAGTGTCGTCTTGACATGACTCACATGTTGTGAGCTATTGTGCACCTTCCCTCCCAAACCCAGGGGGAATTTGGGGCTCGTCATGCATTTCCACTGTGCCTCTTGTGCCTTGTGAAATGCAGGTTGGATAACTTCTCCAGTCATTTTTCCTCCAAAGAAAATGGGGATAATGCCTAATATACAAGGACCTGGTAGAGTACATTTCACCTTATAATGTGCTCTATAACAACTAATGATGTTACTATCCAATATAGTCAACAACCTTCAGATGAGATAGAATAGTAAGATTAATAAAAAGAGGACAGTTTAAACCCTCATATTTAAAATATTGGGTCTGTTCTAAAATTGTGTCTCGAATCATACTGACAAATCCAAATCAGAACAGGTCATGGGATAAGAAAAAAACATTCAGTTGGCTGTTTTGAGGCTGTTGGTCCACTCTTGTGGTATGAAAAGTTTGCTGCTCATGGAGTGTCATGATTGTTGATCTGAATTATTAGCAGAGTTGATACTATTTTAGATGGTAAAGGAGAGTCATGAGAGGGTGCGTGAAAGGGGTAGGTTAGGACTGCTGTGAGAAGTGCCCTACCACAAAAGGCTTTGTGCTCCAGAAGTGGAGAAAAACTAGTTACAAAGATGTTCCTAAGTGATAAAGAAACTAAGTGTATTTCCTTTGCTCAGTAAAGCGAATAAATAGTGTTGGATTACAGACTTGACCTAGATCTACATCGCATTTTGCTGGGTTTGAAGGCAGCTCTGTTCCTGATGTGTTTGTCCTCATGTGCACTCTCCTGTAGGCTTTGGTTCTGTTAGACATCACCCCTGACCAGTCAATGGTGGATGAAGGAATGGCTCGGGAAGTTATCAATCGCATCCAGAAACTTCGCAAGAAGGTCAGTTTGTTGTTCCAGAGCAAACTACAGTTCACTTTTTGTTTTGTTTCAGTTGTTGGGGAGGACAGTGATCCATTATGATCCCAATTGCATTGTCCATCCAGATTGTGCTCTGCGGGGGAACATGGGCCCTTCGGCCTTTCTACTTGCTTACTCCAGGCTAGCAGTGGCTTTTTGTTTCTCTAAGATCTTTCAGGCAACCTATGAACATTCCAACCTTTTTGGGTTCCCTCTGACTTCCACAAGATCATCACAGGATAGTGAGTTCCCTGACTGTTGCATAAGGTAACTAGGTGGCAGTGTAATCAGAGTGGGAGGGCTCCGAGATCTCTCCTCAGGGCAGACATCTCTGAGTCTAGACAGAGTGGGGTGGTTTTTCCTCCTTAGGGAGCCAAGGAAGGCACACATAGAGCCCATTGCCTGCAGGGCACCGGGGCCCCAACAGGTAAGAGGGTCAGGAAGCACTTACTCTGAGGAAGCTTTGCCAGTGAGGAGGGCTCCTTCACACCCTCCCTTCCCAGGCCAGGCATCTGAATTCTGTGCGCCAGAGTCCGAGGAGGCCACTCCTGCTGATGAAAAGGGTGCTTGTGTGCGCTGTCCCAGTTTAGAGCCTCGTAAGTGGGTTCTAGGTCGTCTTTTGTTTCAGCATTCATGAGGGGCTAACTGCTAAGGAAGGACGTGTGTCCGTCCCTCCAAAGCAGGGGCGGAAGAGCGCTGTCAGTGCAGTTGGTCTTGTAGATCATCCTAGCAGCAAGGCAGGCATGCCCTCCTTAACCACTGAGCGTGTGGTCACCAGTCCTGTTGTTGTTGTTGTTGTTTTTTAATGGTTTATACTTGATTGATTTCTTTTTAACTTCTAGAATTTTTATTAGTACATACAGTTTACAGTCATCTTTACTTGCACATACCATAACTTTTTTCTTTTCCTCCCCTTTCCCTTCTATTCCCCCTTCCTTCCTTTCTCCTTCTCTAATTCCCCATCCTGATTTTAATTCTTACTGATATTATTAATCTTAGCTCATGTTATGGCCCATAATGTTTACATTCATTGAGATTATTAGGTTCTTATATGCGGTATCTCTGTTCTTCTTGCTTCCCCTCCCCTCCTCTCACCCATCACCCTTGTTCGAATGTACCCCTTCCCTGTTGCAAGAAATCCATGCCCTTGTCCCCACCATTCTTACTCAATAGTAACTAACACATGTGCTTCCCTTTTCACTTTTCTCTCTGTATGCTTTCAGTGTAATCTGGTTCCCACTGATGAAATAACCGTGTATTATAATGCAAAATCTGAAGAAAGGTATCTGAGTACAGTTATTGAAAGCCACACAGAGTTCATATGTGCCACCATAAAGGCTCCCCTGAAACCATATCCAGTTTCTACATCAGAAAAAGTTCTTATTGAAGAAAAAATACAGGTAAGTTCTGAGGTCTGCTGGACTACCAAATGATTTCAGACTAGGCTTTTTAAGCATACATAGTCGCATCTTGATATTCTGGCCCCCAGTAGAGAGTGATAGAATGCTTAGTCCTGCCGTACTGCTCTGGGTGGTGCTGGGAGAGGAATCCAGAAGAGGTACAGGGGAGGAGGCCAGCCAACATGCTTTCGCAGCAGTCCTCCTGGGGTGTCTGAACCTAGAAAAGTGGAGCTGGTGGATTTCGGTAATTATTAATACTCATAATAATGGTTTGAAAGCATTTAACTTTTATCAGAGTTGCATATAAGATTACAGTTGCATTTCCTGTTATGTCTAGGAATTTTAGACTACTATGATGGTCTGATACTAAGACATGGAATATACTGGCCAGTGCTCATTTCAGCAGCGCATATACTAAGATTGGAATATAGTGGCCCATGATTCACAGGTCATTTGTGGTATCTCAGTCATTGATTCAGTCGTGTTCTCCTTGACTCGTCCTACTTTATGCGCGTCGAAAAGACAAACAAGGAGGTGCTGAAAGTGGCTGTTTTTCCTTTCAGTAGGACATAATTTGTTATGGTTTCATCTTCTACCTTGTATATTACTTATTTGACTTAAAAATTGGCAAATATATAATTAAAAACTATACATCTTTAAGAGAATAAGGAGAGAAAATGGGGCTATAGATTGTAGCTCTCGACACTTAAGAGCTTTTGTTCTTACTGAGAAGCAGTGTGTGTTATTTGGTGGCTTGGCACACTGAAACTAATGTATGTTCTCCTTCACTCAGTTAAAGGGCTGTGACCTGGAAATTACGCTCACCAGAGGGCTGTGCACTCCTGGTCCCGTGTGTGCTTATGTCAATCTTCACATCTATGCCAGTGGCAAGGAACAAGGTATGAGTAAAGGAATTCCATGTCTTGTGTGGTGTTTCACACTTCTGGAAGTCTCTCCTTTTACAAAGGATGATAAAACTGGATGGGTTTTCTGGAAGAGCTCCAGTGAGGCCAGAAGTGAGGCTATGTGTGACTCCTCCCTGGACTCCATCAAACCATGACTGTGTGTGGTCCTCCATTTCCTTTTAATTGTCATCAAAATGAACCCATCAGCTGGGCATGGTGGCGCACACCTGTAATCCCAGCAGTCTGGAGGCTGAGGCAGGAAGATTGCTGTGAGTTCGAGACCAGCCTGGGCTACAGACTGAGTTCCAGGTCAGTCTCAACTACATAGTGAGACCCTGCCTCAGAAAACCAAAAGAAAAAAAAAAAAAAAAACCAACCCATTAAAGTAAATAAGGAATGTGCACTTGGGGAAAATGGAGTAGACATACTTCCTTTTTCTCCACTGAGTATATCTAAGTACCCTGTATCAATACAAAAACAAACATAAGACTCTGGAAGGTGGAGGGAGAAGAACAGACCAGCTGGGAACCTTGAAACCAAGTTACTTAACAGTGCTGTATTCCCTGGACTTTATTTTTATGCCTTATGTGTCCGAAACCTGGAAAGAAAGCTGCCAATCTAGAAATGCCATCAACTGCTGACCAAAGTAAAGCCCGAGCAAAATTTTGCTTTCACTAGACAAAGAATCACAATGCGGACAACCTAGCAAGACAGTTACCTTTTTTTTTTTTTTTTGCCACTGATGATGATTGAACCCATGGCCTTGCATATGCTAGGCACGTGCTCTGCCATTGAGCTATGTATATCTCTACCTCCAAGAAAGAAAATGTTAGATGATAATTGGTCTACCATAGTCATACACCGTAGAAAAAGCTGTGGCCCCACCACTCACATGAGCAAAGGCCACACAGAAAGCCTCAGTTCAGCTTTTGCCTGGCTTAGACTTCTCAGGCTTTAAAACTGCTATGATGATAACAGAGAGGATTACTATTTAAAAAACCACAGTTTGGGCCAGGGATTTAGCTCAGTGGCACCATGCCAGCCTCTCAAGCACGAGGCCCTGAGTTTGATCCCTAGTACTGGGGGTTGGAACCACAGTTCACTGTAGAATGATGTGATATAAACACTGTTCAGTTTTGTGATTACCCTGGTAATGCAAGTTGTAGTAACCTAGAAACCTAATAGAAGAAACATCAAAACAAAAAACTTTAGAATAAGCCGACTTTACTCCCTACCACTTAGGACACCTGCAAACTATTAGCTGCTCTTGTAAATATATCATGGGTTTATTTCCCTAGAGAAATTTTTCTGAATGTTTTTGGTGGCAGCTATGGGGCTGGGGTTTAGCACAGTGGTGCCGCCACCTGCCTCGCTGGGGATTTAGCATGAACAAAGGAAATGTAAAGCTGCATGATATTCTCTTAAATGCTTTTATTGAACACATGTATTATCTACCTTTTGGAGAGTGGCTTCTACCCATGAGAATCCTTGAAAGGTCTGGTTTGCCACAGAATGCAAGATTTTACCTAATGTATGGATTTATTTCAAATTCCTTACAACTTATAACCTGATACTGTCAAGAATGAGCCCTCAGGATTCCCAGTGGAACGTCTCAATGGGACCTAGTTTATTTTATCTGTTTCAGGGTTGGCTCTAATTGGGGTTGTTGGTCCTTTTGGCCTCTGAGTGTAGGAGATGCTATTTGGAAGGCAGGAGTGAGCCAGACCGAACAGGAAGAGCAAACAAACAACAGAAAAAGCACATACTCCACAGAGCCAAAATAGGGTTCTAGGAATTGACAAAAGGTGTCTTTTATGTATATAGGTGAGTTAAGTTTGTCTGTACGTATCACTGTAGCACCTTTCGTCCAGTAGAAAAGTTACTTTTTGGAGGGCTCCTTTATAGCATGCTGAAAGGGTGTGTAATCACATCTGGTGGGAAAGGACCTTACTGGTGATACTTATAAGCAGTTGCCTGGACCCACCTAGACAGTCCCCACATCTGGGAGTACATGGAGCTTGGAAGCCTAATACATAACTCTTGCAGGTATCACTCAGGCTTTCTCTATTTGTTTTTTTTTTTTTTTGTACTGGGGATTGAACTCAGGTCCTTGTGCATGCGAGGCAGGCGGTGCCTCTAAGTTATTAATTGTTGTTACTAGTTTTGTAAGTATAGGTAAGTAAGTAGTGGTGATTAGTGGAACATTAAGAATAGCTTTTTACAGTCCGGGGATGTAGCTCAGGGGCACTGCGCCTGCCTCGCATGTGCAAGGTCTTGACTTTGAGCCCCAGTACTGGGGAGGTAGCTTCTTAACGCCTTCTTTGAAGAATCTTGGCATCTCGCATCAAGAATGCAGAAGTAATGATATGAATGGACCTGTTTCCCCATTTGCTTTTTGGCATTAGCCCACAAACCCAACACTTGTTCATAACACCCCATATAACTACTTTATAACCCTCAGTAAAATGTGTTTTATCACGCTGGGTATGATGGTGCAAAGCTGTAATACCAGCACTCGGGAGGCTGAGGCAGGAGGATCGCTGAGTTCGAGACCAGCCTAGGCTACGTAGTGAGTTCCAGGTCAATCTCAACTACATAGTGAGACCCTGTCTCAAAAATTTTTTTAAAAAATGTATTTTTCAGTTGCTGGAGATTGCTACAAGGATAAAGGAAACACACTTTGTAATAGTCTTAGCTAATGTCATAACATCAGATTCCTATACTGGAAAGCTGCTGTCCAACCACAGAACCTGCAAACTTAAAGGAACATATTGACATCCCTTTGAGGTGGCAATGGAATGGGAACTCTATAAATGTTCAAGTGACCCATCATCAGGTGGTGGAAATGTACTACCTGAAGGTTTATCTTCCCAACAGCAAACCAAACATTGGTTAGTAACCACTTCACCAATTTTAAAAGTAACCTACCAATATTTTTTCATAATTTATATAATTTTACCTGTTCTGTGATGAGTCATGGGCAGAGCTTTTAATTATTAAGGACGCAGGAAGGATCTTGTGACCCAGTAGGTCCTCCCTAAGTCCACTCAACATTAAATTTATATCCTTTCAGAGCCATTTTGTTTTTCCTAATAAGGTGCTTAGCACTACTGTAACAGTAGGTTATCATAGGTGAGTCGACTCAAGTTGGTCTTACAGAGTTTATTCAAATTGCACGTTCACACGGTTTCAGTACTAGATGATTTGTACCTAAAAGTCTGTCCAGGCATTTCCTTGATGTTCAAGTCATTCTTATTCTGCTCAATATTGAGTTTGCAGTTTTATGAACCAGTTAAACCTTTGCACTGGTATGATCTTAAAAGTTATCAGAAATGTGTATTTGTCAGAGTTCTTTCCATGCATCTCCTCAGAGATGAAAACTAAAGCAAAACAATGGTCAGTGGATGGTAAGGCTTAAAATGACCATGGTTAAAGATCTGATGAAATCTCATAATAATGCAGTTAGCAAGGAAATTCACTGGCTTCTATGGCATACAGTATTTTAAGGGGATATTTAGAATTATGACTTCATGTATGAACAGGACTATCAAATTTTTAGGAATTGTGTACAGTTTCTGGAACACAGATTAATACTGCCATGCAAGTGTAAGTGGAAGAAGGTTAAACATATATTTGACCATGCTTTTTATGCAGATTTTATGTAAGAGATCTAATTAGTTTACCGTTTTATAGGGAAAGAGAAGAATTTATATTGACAGAGAAGTTAATTCAAGGTCAAAAAGAATTTATTTAGAATATGATTTGGGGAAGTTGGTAAGATTATCAAAGGTTTAAGGCATTGGGCTAAATAGGATTGCTGTTCACTGAAACTACTGTCATTAACCTGAGTGATAGTTAAAATATTTTAAAGAAGATTCAGAACAGTTACACAGTTGTAGGACAGACTTAATTGCTTTTGATTTGCAGTACTGGGGATCTGAACCCAAATTTTAAGTACACCAGTAAAGTAACAGAATCTAACATCTTGGATATATCAACTATCAGGAGGCATTTGAGAATACTTTAAAAGCTAATGATCAGATAGTATTTATAACCACCACCCTGTGCCTTGAGATTTACAAATGGCACAAATTGAGAAGTGAGAATTATAAACTCAAAGGTATTTAGGGTGGGAACAGTCTGCTCAGTGTTCTTTTTTTTTCTTTTTAAAGACTCACTTTCTTTTTCCTTGCATATTTTTAAAACATGAATTTTATTGGTATATTTTGATATACATGATGATCATACCCATTACAGAGAATTTGTAGCTGTTCTGCCCAGTGTTCTTACCCCTTGACCAGCTCTGTGGGAAATTACCAAAACACGTACTGAAGGGATATTTAGTGTGTATTTGAAAAGGAAAAATTAAGGCTCGATCCCTGTACACCTTGACTTTCTCCAAAATGTAACATTTTCTTTTAGGTTTTACATTTCTTTATATATACAGAGTTTAACGCATTTTAATAGCAAACTTACAGGAACGGCACAGAAAGACAACATTAAAAACATGTACTAGCACGTAAGACAACTCAGAAGAAAAGTATAGTGAATGATGGAATCTACCGTATGATAAAAAGACTACAAACACCATTTAGTTGGCATCAGTAAGAAATTTACTTGTGTTTTAACAATCCCAATGCTAGCATTGCCCAGAAAAATTTAACAGGTTTATTTATAATTTTTATAAAGACTGATGAAACTTGTTCACTGAAACATTTTGACTGGCTTTATATCCCCCCATCAATATTAAAAATTCACACACAAATGAAAATGGAAAACCTGCCAATACCTGGTTTCTGTCCATTTTCCACTCGTAGCCATGTACTTAGATACCTTTTGACTCAGTGGAGAAAAACTATCTACATTCAGAACCACCAGTACCAGGAAGGAGAGAAAACAATTTTTGCGAAAGTTTCCCACCAGAGTGAACTCTTAAGCACGTTCTCCATGTACGGGGCGTGCTAGTTGGAGATCTTTAGGCACAATTGTTACACGTGTGGTATGGATAGCACACAGGTTGGTATCTTCAAGCAGGCCAGCCGGATAGGGCTCGACTGCCTCCTGCAAAGCACAGAGAGCTGAGTTCAGGGAGCTCACGTCTGGTTATGCTGGAAATGGAGTTTGTGAATCCGAAGTTCTCCAGCTTCCTAATAACTTCTGTCATGGGGTCCCATGGTCCCAGCCTGTGATGAGGTTTCTTCAGCCCTCCAGTAGAGGGGCATCCTTAATAGCTAGTTGTTTCCCGGGTGCTTTACCACTCGTAGATATGTCAGCAGTCATCTTTGTAGGAGCCATGTATTTACCTCCTCCTTCTGCCACTGGAGCTGGGCAGCAAGTGGCAGCATTAGAGAGTGACAGCTGCACAGTGCCGTTGGCCATGAACACAATTACAAGATTTACATTTCTGAATGAGATTTTATTTTTGTGGTTTTTTTTAGATGGAGTATTGCTTCTGGAAAATCCAAAAGGAGATAATCAGTTGGACCTTCTGAAGCTAAAGAGTGTTGTTTCTAGCATTTTTGGTGTTAAAACTACAGAGCTGGCTGTCTTCCATGGTGAAACAGGTCCGTGGGAAGTACCCCTTGGCCGGAGGAGTGTGGTGAAGGTCCTGGTCTGATACCTGCAGAACCTTTAGTTTCTTTCAGTTCCGAGTTGTGACAGCTCTTCAGCAGAGCCTGGCTGCAGCGTCTCTGTGCCTCCTCTCTGTTTGATATGGCTGGGAACCCCAAACCTGCTGGGTGGCAAAGACACTGATCCACCCTACTACCTGTTAGCCATGGACTCAGACCTGTCTGTTGAGTCTTAATTTCATTAAACATAGTTTCTGAATCTTAGAGATCCAGGCACTGGAAAACAATTAAATTTAATTTGCTAACTATAATTTTGTTTTCAGGTATAAGCTTTTCATGATGAAGTATGAGATACAGACATAGAGGGAACTTTTGAGAGGAACCAGTCTAGGGAAAATATTAACGGGAGAAATGCTTTTATCTTTGAGTTAAGGATACTGTATCATGCCATTTACTTTACACCAATAAGAAACCGTGCTGTTTGAAGGGATGGGGTGTAGCTCAGAAGTATCACCAGGTGCTTAGCATGCACAAAGCCCTTAGGTCATTGCCTAACAGAAGCAAACAAAAAAAGATTTACTGCTATGTGAGTTTCATTAACACCTGATAGTGCCCCTTGACGAATTAAATGAAAAACATTAGATTTTTTTTTTTTAAGACATGCTAGTTTAATCATGAAGAGAAAAATTAAATGACTTCGGAATTGTTATTTTTAGAAATACAAAACCAAACAGACTTGCTGAGCCTCACTGGAAAAACACTCTGTGTGACTGCAGGACCAGCCCCCTCTCCGGCCAGTAGTCCTGGTCCTCTCCTCTGTCAGTACATCAACCTGCAGCTCCTCGATGCAGAGCCTCAAGGTAGGTGTGCTCCCCGCCCGCAGTGTGCAAGGTGTAGGTGCTGGGTGTTAGTTCCTTTGACGTGCACACCGATGGAGGTGTGTTTTTCACGTCAGATTTGTGCAGTGACTCAGAGTGTGGACCGTCACACTGTTTGTGTATGTAGAAAAAACCTCCAACTGGCATGGTCAGGAAATGAAATATTCTGAAGTAAAAAGTACAACAAAATAAGTACAATTCAGTGATTTGTTAGGAAATTTCATTGTGCACTTTTACCTCAGTTTTCTTGAAAAAATGTTCTAAAAACTTGTTTGCCTTCATGCCTTAATCACAACCAGAGTTACCTATTTTTTTCCTGATAGTTTGTGAGCCTCGTTGTACACTTTCTGTTCTGAAGTCCTCAGGCTCCTAACTTCATGAGTACTGAATATTTGTTACCTAGACTGCTGCCCCTATATAAGTCAGTGTTTCTTTTCCCACCCCATCACCTTCTGTGAACTGTTTCAGGCTTCTTGTACACTATACCTGCAGCTGACAAACCTCTCGTTCTGTGGCCAGGGGTGGCCTTCAAAGCCTCCCACACTGCCTGTGAGAGCTGTCTTCAGTCAGGATCTCTGTCAGAGGATAAGTGCTTGGGGACTGATCCAGCTTCTCCTTTCTCTTACAGAGTGTTTAGTGGGCACAGTTGGTACTCTGCTGTTGGAAAACCCACTGGGGCAGAATGGACTCACCCACCAGGGTCTTTTGTATGAAGCAGCCAAGGTGTTTGGTCTTCGCAGCAGGAAGCTGAAGCTCTTTCTGAATGAGACTCAAACCCAAGGTAAGGGACTTTAGTGCCATAAGTTTATATACCTTTATCTAACTGAAACCAGATTTGATGCCATTAACTATTTCTTGACTGTGTTGAGCAGTGGTACTGTGTTTTTTATTTTCATGAAAAATTAATCATGGGTTAATGTATTTTAAAATAATAACTAAAACAGTAATTACTTTTTGCCTTGGAAATCACCTAAAAATGGCTACTTCTAGACAATAGCATATTTACCAATTCTAAAGTTATTCTTGTCCCAAGGATCAAAATTATCTCAGTGTTGCAATATACCAGCCTGAAGGATCCTTAAACTTGACTTTATGTCAGGCATGATGGTGCATGCCTGCAATCTAGGTGCCCGGGAGGCTGAGGCAGGAGGATCAGAATAAGCCCAGTTTGGGCAACTTAATGAGACCCTGTCTCAAAGTAAAAACTAAAAAGGACTGGGATATAGGCTGAGGAGCATGCATAAGGCTCTGCGCATTCAACCCCCAGTACCAAAAACATGTAAAAATAAACCTAAGCCAGGTGTGGTGGTGTATACCTGTATTCGCAGTTATTTGTGAGTCTGAGACAGGAGGATCACAAGTTCAGGGGAAGTTTGGGCAACTAAGCAAGACACTGTATCAAGTAAGAAAAAAATTTTTTAAAACAAAAAGAAAACCTCCTGAGTTGTAGCTCAGTGAGAGGACCTGAACTCAATCCTCAGTATCACAAAACAGTAAATAAACTGACCTGACAGTTGTTGGCCTCCCTTTTCAGTTCGTAAGGGCATGCTTACATGCATTTCCTAATTGGGTCATGTCACGGTGTGAAGATGTCAGCAGGTGACATCCAGTAATCTGAAAACAAAATCAGGATGGATGGTGTCTGCATGCTGGTGTCAGGCAGCCGCGTGTTTCTGGTTCCCCTTTCTTGTCACTCTCCTCTGTGGTCTCAGCCTGTTTGACATCCCAGCCCTGCCGTCTGGGCTCAGTCGTGTGATCCCATGTGTGTAGCCAGCATGTTCACGTCACTCGCACTGCCACTGGAATCACTGCTCCAGACAGCTTCCCTGTGGGGGATGTATTCTGTGATGACAGCCATTCGTCTCAACATCCCAGCTTCAGATCTACCATTCCATTATGAAGCCTTGTAGCCTGGGATTTATGGATTTCTGAGTCAGGATTCCATGTCTTGTTGGCATTTACATAGAACTCCCAGGCATGGTTATTTCCGAAGTTGTCTCTAACTCATTCTCTGTACTATCTCTTTGTGGAACTTTGGTATTTTAGACCCTACCGTATCTCACCTGTATTTCCCCTCTCTTTGTTACACTGTGTGGTATTTTGGCTGATCTTATCTTTGTGCCTCTAGCTTCTTTTGAAAATTTTTCCCTTTGTCTTTTTTGTTGTTGTTGTTGTTCCAGCGGTGGAACCACTGAGCTAAATCCCAGCCCTTTCCCTTTGTCTTTGACTTTCTATCCTTTGACTGATTTGCCTATTCAGATTTTTTTGTATGTCATTCCCTATTTGTTGTAGTTTTGATTTCTAATATTTCCTTTTGATTCTTTATTAGTTTCCATTTTTAAGTTATCCATCTGTTTGATACATTTTATATTTCTTGAAGTTTTTTGTTTTTTTTTTTGTTTTTGTTTTGTACTGGGGATTGGTATCTCTTGAAGTTTTAAGGAGTTTTTCTCTAGTTCCTTGAGGACACTGTCAACCCAGACCCTCTTTCAACTCAATCATTTTAGACCATTTTAGACTTAAGTTCTGGTTCAATCATGCACAGGTCCAGGAATGAATCCCGGTGGAAATCTGGTCTGTCTTTCCCTACGCCAAGCCCCAGAACCAAGCTAGTGAGGCGCGTTCAGTCTTGGTTTCCCGAGACTGCTGCCGCAGATTGCCACACACTTGGTGGCCGAGACAACAGAAGTTTATTCTTTCCCAGTTCTGGAGGCCAAAAGTCAGAAATCAAGGAATCAGCAAAATCACACTCTGAAAATTCCAGGGATGAACACTTTTGTTTTTGCTTTTTTTTGTTTCTTCCAGCTTCTCAAGTCTCCAAGTGTTCCCTGATGTGAGCCATATCACTGGCCTTCTCTGCTTCTGTGGGCAGATTGCTTCCTCCTCTTCTATTTTCCTTTTTTCCAAATAAGGTGGTATTTGCAGCTTCTGGGAATTTAGAATATGAGTGTATATTTTGGGAGGCCATTATTGAACCTCCTACATTCTCTTTCTGTGGTAAAGGATCCTATGCAAAAGTATGCTTTCGCTGTATAAGTGGCTTCTTATGTGAGGTCCCAGTTCTTTTGAGGAAGGTTAAGACTTCCTAATCTGTATAGGCTATACACTTTTTCCTGTCTCACTTTCACAGCCCTTTCTACCCAAAGAACTAAGTCACTAGAAACTGCCAGAGGTATCGTATTCAGATAAAATAATCTTTTTTTTTGGCCACTATGGATTTCCCCCATTTCATTCCCTGTCCAGCTGTCAGGTGTCTTTCCCATCCCCACCCGTTCAGTTTGAGTTGGGAATCAAACTCAGGACCTTGCACGTATGAGGCAGGCGTGGTGCCACTGAGCTAAATCACACTCTAAGTCACATTCTAAATCACGAGTTGGCCCTGTCGAACTTTTTAATGTTTTATACAATATTTTACAGATTTTTGCCATATTATTAAAAACTAAATCCTGTCACTTGGGTTATTCCTCCCTCCCTCCCTCCCTCCCTATAAAGAAAGCACAACCACTGATTCAGATTTACTTTAATGAGGAGTCTCCCCTCTCACCTAATGTAGCACCTCATCATCCATTGAAGTCATCTGTTTACAGTCTGTATTTCTCCACTAAAATTGTTCATAAAAATTCTTCCCTCTATGTTGTTCCTCTCCTCAATCAACCCAAGTCTCCCTACTGTTTATGCTTCAGAATCTTTAGCTTGGCACACAAGATCCTTTCTCTTGGGCCCTTTTCACCTTTCCAGCCATGCCCACAAGTCTTTCATTGTCTCTATTTTCAGCCCCAGCACTATTGGCTCTTTCATTGTGTGGGTCATAGTAAAGATCATCTGTGAATACAGCTTTCTGTTTTAATGGTGTGTGTGAAACCTTTTTCTCTTATCTTTTAAATCCACTGGTTACCATGGGCTGATGTGCCATATGGCTAAGGGACTTCTCAGTTCTGTGTAAATGCAGGGACATGGTCAGGATTAGAATTATATCTGTGTGACTCAAATATTTATACTACCACTTGTGAATCATATAAGCAGGCATAGCTATACTTCCTTAGTATGTTCTTCTCACTCAGAGGTTTCTAGGTGAGTAGAAGGGAAGGTAATAAACGTTGAGTGACTTGCCCAAGATTATCACAAAACTGGGACTTTGTCCAGTCCGGCCTCTTTTATCTGACTTTCAGTATAATTTTCCTTTCAGAATTGTCTTCCATAAAGTGTTAATACCTTGATAAATTAGAAAGAGCACAGATGATTACAATTTAGGAAACTCATTGATGTCTTTCTTGTTTCTTCCACTAGACTCTAAAGTTTTATCTCCAGATCCTGTATTTAGTTATCATTGAGGAGGAGGCAGCTATGAGAGTATTTTCACATACAGAAAGAGCTCTTTTCTACTGGGACAAGACCTGGTTTTAGAGAAAGCTGGTCCTATCCCTTTAAATTCAGACTTGGCTAGAAGCAAAATGTCCCGTGGTAGGCAAATAACCTTTTAAAAATCACCCCCTTTAAAAAATTTTTATAGTTAACATCTTTTAACCAGTTGTATTTGCATTATACCTTAGAGTGCTCAAAGTTGACATTGTTGGCCATATTGGATCATGTGTTCTGGGCCATAATCCCTTCCATCTTTGATAACATCCATATTTCAAGGACAGCAACACATCTCAGGTTACTTCCACATATCTAAGGATAACTGTTCTTCTTACAAGGAGTTTTATTTAGAATTTAGACACTACATGTCTGAGCTACTGGGTTGACACTGCTCCTGAGCCTTTCCTATGCTTCTAGGTGTAGAAAGTATCTTTTTATGGGGAGAATCATCTTGGGCAGTACCCAGAGTTAGCCACACCATGAGGTGTTCCAGCAGTCTCCAAAACTAAAGAATCTGCATAGGACCACCACCACTTCTGGTACCAACTGCAACTTTAGGGGTTTCCCCAGACCACACTGGGTTCAGTGATTTTCTAGGACTCACAGACTCACTGAAGGTAATTATACTCAGATGTCTTACAAGAGGATATAAATTACAACCAGACAAGGAAAAGGATGTAAAGGACAGAATGTAGGAGGGCTTTAGAGAATGGGGCTTCAGGTCATCCCCTCCCCATGGAGTGAGTCATGGTCACTGTTACCTTCTCCCATCCCTAATAATGTGACAACAGAGAATCACCAACCAGGAAAGCTCACCGAATGGAATCTGATGTCTAGCATTTTTATTGAGATTTTATTATCTAGGCATGATTGGTTTCTTGCGGACACAACTGGTCTCTGTCTGAGTCATCTCATTAGCATAAGCTATGACATGCAGTCAAAATGCCCACCCTGAGGACCAAAGGCACTCCTAACAGGAAACACCAGGGATTTAAAGGGCCCTTCTGGGATCGGAGGTAAAGGTCAGGCCTTTCTTAGGATGAGGTAAAAACCACCCTTACTACATGGGCAGTTAACGTTTTTAAAATATTCACCCATGGTACTTAATGATTTTAAAAACTTTTTCTTTCCATTCTAGAAATTACAGAAGACATCCCCATGAAGACTCTGAATATGAAGACTGTGTATGTTTCTGTATTGCCAACGACTGCAGACTGCTAGCGCTCATTTCTTTGTGTGGTTTGGTCAACATTTCCCTTGGACCTTTTTCCTTTACATTTATATCCATGGACATGAAGATATGTCCTTTCATTCTAATATGCTGCTTTGGCCCAAAGTTCAAATAGGATTGATGAAGTGACTTGAGACCTCATGTAAACTATTCACACTTAACCTTAAACACCTATGCAGTTGTGTTGGGGAAAGTTATTACCTCAGCACCACAAAATTTATTTCTATACTTGAGTTCATGAAATACAGAAAGGAGAATTCACTTAAAAGGCATAATATTTGTGAATATTGATTTATGGCCTTTTAAAACTGATTTGAGACCCTTAAAGAAGTGGACATATTATATATTTCTGCTACCTGGATTTTCCCAGGTACTTTGGAATGTTTTATGTTTCAGTAAATCAAACAAGTAAACAAACTCAGATATACGTGTGTTGGAAGTGATTCATTCCCCCTTTATGTGATGATACTTGAAATTTGCAATATTTGAAGAACTAAAATCTTAATAGTGGTTTCTGAATTAAGACAGTAAGTTACACATCTACTGTCACCTCTTCTCAAAATCACGGGTGACAGTTTGGGCTCTCGAAGAAGCAGTCACCAAGACAAAACTAGATGTGCAAGTATTTCTTGGAAGAAACAAGGGTAAAAGGGAGTGGGACCAGGCATGAGTAGAGAACCCTTCAGACTGCAGTGTAGGTCTTTACCCCTGTGAAAAGAGAAGAAAGAAGAAGATTGATTTAAAAATACCTGGGCTGCAGCACAGCCGAGGAAAAGCACTGGTCCATCCAATGGAGAGTTCCTAAGCAAAGGTTACTTTGAGCAGTGTTTAGTTCTGTGGAAATGACCTGCCTTCATACCTCTGCCCTGCTTAGCGAGTGTCTGGGAGAATCCCAGTGTGGGGGTGAGGGGGAGGCACATGTGCCTCCACAAGCACAGCAGTTGGAGCCAACTATTTTCCACACTGGGTGGATGCATATCCATGACTGCTACAGCAAACACACTAAAACACAACACCACAAAAATGGAGAAGACAGGACCACAATCAGAATTTTGAGAATTGAAAAGCCAGTAGATGAGTATGAGACTAAGTTGGTAAACCCAGCCCAATTCTAAACCAGCAAGGAAGGAACTGAGAACCTGATCTAGAACTCAACCTCAGCTCCAGTTAATTTCTGGGACCAAGGATAAAGGTGAGGCACAAAATTAGGGAAGTTTGGGTAAATGTTTAGGACTTCATTTCTACACCACGAGGCAACTCCCCTCCTCAGTTGACAGGTGGAGGTTTATCATCTAGCAGGAGTAACACTGACCCTAATGATGAAAATCAGGGAGCTGAAGGCAAGGACATTTGCAACTTTGGAGAATTCCTCAAACCAACCCTCAGGTTAGATAAACTGTTGGAAAGACTCAGAGATCTCATCAAAGTAGATGTTATATTCATGGTTGTAGTTAATTACAGGAAAATGTTACATATTAATATCAGCCAAAGAAAGAGATGCAGTGAGCAGAATTTGGAATTAGCAAGCACTCCTGTTACTCTATCCCAAAGGGGCAAAATATATTAGTGGCACCAATGTATGACAGTCTATAGGGTCCTGCCACCCAAGGAATCAAGCTTAAGAGTCCAGAGTTTTTTTTAATTGTTTTGTTATTTTTGGTACCGGGAATCAAACTCGGGACCTCGCACTTGCAAGGCCGGTGGTGGCACCACTAAGCTAAATCCCTGGACTCAAGAGTCCGGAGTTTTTAACTGGGACATTATCACTTAGCTTGACTTAATCGGCCAAATTAATCTCAGTCTAAAGTCAAAAGACACTGCGTATCCCAAAGCTTCTACCTTAAGGTCTTTCCAATGTGTCTTTCCCCCAAACTAGGATTATATGGACTTGAGCAAGCCCAGCCACAAGACACATTACCCTATTAAGACTATCCAGTGTGACCCACGGCTCACCAGGCAAGCAAAGACACATCTGCCTATCTAGCACGACATTCAAACAGCAAGGCTAGATTCTTTTCTACACAGTAGTACAATGGAAACAAGATTAAATCCCTTTCTACATACTGTTCACTAGACAAAAGAATAAAAATATTGACATTGGAAATTACCTAAAAAATGACTTGATAATTAACCTATAGTTAAGTTCAGAGTTGATGTATTACCAGTACCTTTCTGTCAGTATTATATCCCGTGTTACTTTTCCTTTACTGTAACAAATACCTGAGATAATCAACTTACAAAGAGACTGTGTTACAAAAAGTTTCAAGCAAGACATGTGGCGCCTTCCTGTAATTTTAGCAGTCTTGGAAAATGCAGGAGAAGGAGCACAGGCTCAAGGCCTGCTTGGGCAACTTAGCAAAATAGTAAGATTTTGCCTCAGAAATAAAGGGCAAGGAATGTACCCCAGAGCAAAGGTCCTGGGGTTCAATCCCAAGTACCCCAGGGAAGAAAAAGAAAGGAGGGATAGGATCTTCCACTCCCCTTCAAGGGTACACCCACACCCATAACCAGAATACCTCCCCCAAGGTCTCACCTCTTGAAAGTTTGTGCCATCTCCCAGTAGCACCAAGCCTAGGACTAAGCCTTTAACATGGCCCTTTTGGGGGATATATAAGATTCAAATTACAAGTGATCTGATACAAACTTCTATGAAAGGAAGGACACGAGGAAACAATTTAGAAAGAACATAACATACCAACTATTCTTAATATCTTTACATATGAAAATAAAACATCTATAAAAACAAGATGCTATAATCATGGAAATCTTGGAGAAAATGTTTCTGTTAATTTACAATAATACATACCAAAAAATCTTAGCAGACATTAAAAAATTCAACAAAAATCACTGGAAAATAGTGTTGCAAAAATTTTTCAATGTTAGAGCAATTCAAGATGTAGGAGGCAAGATAATTCAGTTGAGTAGGTCCAATATCCAAATTGCAGAAATTCCAGAAAGAGCATAAAGAAAATGAAAGTTGGGCAATCAAATTTCACAAGGGAAAGACAGTTTGGAAGAGACAGGAAGCTTACACTTAACAATACCTCTGCCTTTTTTTATATATTCATTAAACTTTGTCTCCTCACAGTTTTCTATCAGAAAAAGGGCAACATCTTTCAGGCTTCTCCATCCCAAACCTTTGAAGTCAGCTTTAATGTCTTCTACTACTACATAATCAGTCTATCCTATAATCCTTTATAACATACCCAGCATCTATCCCAATCTACTTCCTCCTCCTCTATTACTGTGGCTTTAAGCAACATCATCTCTGGCCTCTCATCTTGCTTTTAAAAAAATTTCTTTGGGGCCGGGATTTAGCTCAGCGGTTTGGTGGCCTGCCTCGCAAGCGCAAGGACTCGAGTTCGATCTCCGGTACCAAAGGAAAAAAAAATTTTTTTTTTTTGAGGGCCAGGGATTTAAGTCAGTCTCGCTGCTGCCTGCTTCACAAGCAGAAGGTCCTGAGTTCGATCCCCAGTGCGTCCCCAAAAATGGATGTGTGTGTAGGACTGCATGTGTGTGTGTTACTAGGAATTGAAAACTAGGGCCAGCGAGCTATATCCCCATTATTTTTAAATTTATTTTGAGAAAATAAGTCACTGTGTTACCTAGGCTCGGCTTGAGCTTGGGATCTTCTGGCCTCAAATTCCTGCAGTGCTGGGATTACAGTCCTGTTCCACCATGCCTAGCTCCACTCTTGTTTATAAATCTGTTTTCCAAGTTGAACCTGAGTGGTTTCTTTAAAATACACTTCATGCTAGGCCTGATGTCACATGCCTATAATCCCAGCACTCAGGCATCTAAGGCAGGAGGATTGTCATGAGTTTAAGGCTAGCCTGGGCCACATAGCAAGTTCAAGTTCAGCCTGAACTACATAGGGAGACCTTGTCTCAAAAAAGAACGAAAACACTTTATAATGACATCACTTCTCTGCTCCACTGTCAATAATTTGTTTAACAAAAGAAAGCCCAGGGCCTGGGATTTAGCTCAGTGGTGCAATGCCTGCCTTGGGTAGGTGGCTCACAAGCTCAAGGTCCTGAGTTCAATCCCTGGTCCCCCTCACCGCCAAAAAAAAAAAAGTGGTCCCTGAGGTCCTTTATGACCTAGTTTCCCTGCACTTCTATATCTTCATCTCTCTCATGGCTTGTATCTAGAAGTCCCCCACGCACTCCAGGTGGCTGGATCTAGGTTGTGTGCATATGGATAAGACTATGTGATAACTAAATTAATCCACTGATCAGTTTAGCATAGTTCTGGGTGTGGGTGATGGGAAGCCCCACCCTGTGTGTGCCTGGCAGCAACCAACAGGCTCATATCTGGAGGGAATAAAAAGAAAGGGAAGGTCTCCATTCCCTTTTTTTTTTTTCTGGTACCGGGATAGAACTTGGATCCTTGCACTTGCGAGGCAGGAGGCAAAACCACTGAGCTAGATCCCCGGCCCTGCATTCCCATAATTTTGAATGAGTCTAGCATATGATTAATTTTATGTCTACTGTTGCTCCTAACATATTTCTGATGCTTTGCCTCTTGCAGCAACGAAGAAAAAGTAACAGAACTAGGAAGATACTGCACTTGGCACCGGTCAGTTAGGCCGGGCAGCGCACGCTGTCCTCCCCAGCTGTGCAATCACGTGAGGCGGCCATGCTGAAGCCGGACCCTCCGCCTCGCCAGCTGGCATTCTTCGCTGCTTCGCTGTCAACATGTTCACGCTCTCTGTGTCGGTTCCCTGCCTGGCTTCTTGGTGTGTTGTGTGTCTGACTACTGTGTGGGCAGCTTGTGCGGACTTTTAGACTGGGCCGGGTGGGGAAGGGGACCGCAAGACCGCTGCCAGCCCTCTCTGCCCTCCCCGGGCTGGGAGCAGGAAGCCACCAAGGGAGCTGGAAAAGGAGGAGGAGGAGTTGGAGTAGGAGGAATTGTAGTTGGAGAGCAGGAGTTGCTGAAGGAGGAGGAGTTGGAGAGTCAGAAGTGGAGGCCTCGGTGGAGCAGCAAAGATCGATAGCTGTTGAGGTCGAGCATCCAGCTCCAGAACCCTCCAGAACCGGGGCCTCGCGTGGCCGCACCGCCGTTTTTCTCGGTCACTATGGCGACGCCGAGGGAAGGATGGCGCCCAGCCTAACTGACGGCGCCAAGTGCAGTATCTTCCTGGTCCTGTTTACTTTTTCTTTGTTGCTGCAAGAGGCAAAGCATCGCGAAACATGTTAGGAGTAATAGTGGAAATAAAATCTATCATATAGGAGGAGGAGTCGGAGGACAAGTCAGAGGAGGAGGAAGACTTGGTGGAGGTGGAGGAATTGGTGGAGGAGTCGTTAGAGGGGTCCGAGGAGGAACTGGAGGAAGGGGAGGAAAAGGAGGAGGAGGAGGCGGAGGCGGAGGCGGAGGCGGAGGCGGAGG